TAGTGACAGTGTTGGCCAGAGCATCACCGAGAGTGTTACTGCATGATGCCATTGTTTTCATCACATCAGGCGACTTCTTGCGTTGTCTGGTCTGATGATTGGGATTCTTTTTTCCTGCTGCTTTGTTAACGGAAAATACGTATGATGCACGATCCTCGCAGTAGAGAGCGCTATTTATGCAATAGCGAAAATCAGACCTGAAAAAAATCAGGCCTGTACGGTAGAGCGCTGCACTAGTATCGCAGAGGTCAGTGGTTCGAATCCCGTACAGGCCTGATTTTTTTCAGATCTGATTTTCGCTATTACATAAATAGCGCTCTCTACTGCGAGGATCGTGCATCATACGTAAACTTCACCAAATCTCATACCAAGTTTCTTTCCCACAAAGAGTAATTATAGTTCACAAGCTATAAAATCCAGTAAAAATTGGCTTTAAATACCATTAACATCCACAAGTGTGGCGTCCACATTTACTCCATTGAAGTCCGAGGGCTCTTTTGTCAGGTCAACGTCCAGTTTGTGGCTGACCTTGTCTATTACAATAGACGAGGCGCCAACTGGTCGTCGCTTATCTTGAAAGAGAGCGGTCTAAAAAAAAAAAACCCCAAAAACATAAGCAACAATAAACTTAAAAACTGTTCAGTTCATTGTTTAGTAAGAGCAGCCACAATCATGGAACATAATTCATTATCATAACACAAATCACGAAAATTGCGCGCTTGCATTGGCCAATCATGATTCAGTGTCCACTGTTTGCTAAACTCACTGTCGTTCAGTTCACAATGTACGTGGTGTATCAAGAATAAATAGTTCAAGAGGTCGAATCAAAACATTAGGCGGGAATAGCATGTCATAAAGGAAAAACAAGATGGCTGATAAAGGACTGGCAAAAAGGGCCAGTGAACCACAGTGAAAGCATTCGGTAGTAACTCCTGTAAAGAACTATTCCGCTCGTTTGTCAGTCTGCATTCATGTGAATTTAAAGGAAAAACTCACTCCGATTTTAACCAATGATAAACGCCACAGTGTACACTATTGGGTTATGGATGCATGCGGGAGGTTGCTAGGCACGAAAGAAGCGTAAGAGTCGCTCGAGGCGATAGCCGAGAGCGACTAGCTTCTCGAGTGCTTAGCAAACCTCACAAGTGCGTCTATAACTCAGTGGTGTACGCTGTGGTGCTTAAATAGGGAAAAATTAAAATTGCAATTTATGAAATACGGTTTCTTGCCTGGGTAATGTAGGGACAGCTGTTTTCAGCACGGATATTAGAACCAAGGCAAATCACATATGAGTCGAAAAAGAACACGCTCTTTTTGAAACTGAAATTGATATCCGACTGGAAGGATCCCTTAGGAAATTTATACTGAGGCTGAGAAAAATCCATTCCCCAGGCTCCAACTGCAACTGGATTCCCACCGCTACCGACAAGTTTTACACTTCCAGCTAGTCTTCTAGGTTGAAAATATCTGTGGAGATATTTCAGAACTGTCATTGGTAATTGCTATCAAATAGGAGTAGATGTTAAAAAAAATCGTAATAAAAATACGATAGAATAAGAAAGGTTGTAAATTTTGGTTCGGTAAAGAAACAGAAAAAGATGTTGGTCGTCTTGTGACGAGCTGGGAATTGAACCTCAGACCTTCGAAGTTCGTGCACCGATGCTCTTCCACTGAGCCGCAGAAACCCTATGATGAGCAATGCGCATTACGAAGTTCATTTGTGACACGCGTCCTGCATACTGCTGGGATCGGCGATGTCGATAGCGTCATGTTTGTAAATGGAATGAGAAAGATGGTAAATACGTTGCTGACGCCTAAGGAACCAGTCATTTGTCGCCTGTGGGAGGGGTCGGGGAATTTAGTGGCATCACATGGTTTTTAAGGGGGAATAGGTGGGGGGTCAGTTGTCGCATTGGAACCCTCTTCTTAAGTACCGTGCTGTGGTCCACATCAGTAGTTACCGTCTCGAGAGACAAATGCTAATTTTCCTTCTTAGCTTCGTCCATTCTTTGTTAGATTCATGTGGAGGTACGTTCAGAACTCAATACTTTACTGATTGTACACAAGAAAGGATTGCAATCAGATCAGTTAAATATTTCGTCTACAGCACCACACTTTCTAACCTGTGAGCGTCACTTTTAAGGTAGTCGAGGTCCAGCTTGATTGTGGTAACACCCGGATGTCGTGTCCAGTCCCAACCATTGTCGACATCGTGTGTTTGAAGGGAAGCCTCGCTGTTGGCAATCAAAATCGCACCATGACTCTGATAAATACCAAACAGATTTTCTTTCTCCAAAACTGGCCCTTCAAAGTCCCAGACGAACCTGTTAAATCCTTTTACACTAACCACCCAGTCTTCCTTCCTATAAACTGCCAGCGCCGCGTAGTTTTTGGACCAGAATCCAGTGGGAGACGTTTCTGCTGATAAACTATTCTGTTGGGCCAATCGAGAAATCTCATCCATAATGTCGATTGACCCGATGGAATTCGTATAATATATGCCTTTAGAAATTGATCCATCCTTCAAGTAATTGTCAATGACACCGTCACTTTTTCGTATAGCCGCACAAACATCCTGATTATATCATTGTTCTGAACGCTAATAGCACCAAGTTTGCCATTCCCGTCCAGTGATGGAGCATTAGCAGCAGCATAAGCGTAGGCTGGCAAAATCTTGGACAGAATAGCACGGGTGAATCCTGGAAATCGTCCTGAAACGCTGTTTGGAGTGGAATACTTTACAGAAACAATCCTCAATGTCTCCAGTCCTTTCTCTATGTTATTCATTGACTTGATTTCTTAAGTGTACGTAAAAAAAATATTAAATAATAAAATAATCAAACCTTTTATTCAAACAGAATTTTACCTAATAACACTGTGTTCACCATTTTCGAACTGGGCTAAGATTTCAAGATGGAACGAACATGCTTACGTTTCATAATTGTATGGGAAACTGATTGAAAACACAAATCCCGAGTAACATCAATGATCTAAAAAGAAAAAAAGAAAAAAAAATCCCCCTTCCCCTGGTTAATCGTGAAGGATTTAGCTGATAATCAAAGCTGTCGACGATATTACATACCCAAACAAAATGAAGTTCCGCTGAGCAGATACTGGATCAATGCAGCTACGTGAAGAGCTTGTGGTGTATAAGAAGAAGCGTAGAAAGTAAAGTGATGGAAAGCAACGAAGTCTGGCTTTAAAAGTCCCGCAAATGCTTCATTGGGAGTCATTGCGTTATTGTACCAGCGGACAAGAGCGTTCATGTCACGAACCTTCTGTCGCTTTTCAGGGGTTGTTAAGGAAGGCATCATAAGAACAGCGAATAACCTATAAGCATGGTTTCACATTGAGAATCACAATTAAAAGTCGATAAAACAATAAGGCAAATTGTTGGGTTCGTTACGAAACAAAATGATAAAAATTTTCTACTTTCCCTGTACGCAAGTATAAAGAAACTCGGCATCCAGTTGTGAAAGTTGATGTCTATTAAAATGATTTACAAAGCATTGATGCAAGAAAAGACAAGCAATAACTTACCTCCAAAGTGAAATGGTTCTCATGCGATCAGCAGTCGTGCCTTTATATTCAAAATTATCTTGGTAAACTTCGCCGAAATCAGTGTACCATTTCATGGTGTCAACGTAGTCGGATAGTTTTCCTTCTGATCTTAATAGCTTTCTTAGAACAAACGCTGCAGTCATAAAACCAGCACCGGCCTTATTCATTTCGTGATTCAAAGAACCGAGTCCGCTACCTTTGGTGAATCCTACGATGAAGAATCAGGAAGGAAATCAAGGGAGTGTTATGATAACCGATCGTTCAATGAGGTGAGTATCAATCTGTTGCGAATTTCTTAGTTCAATGAGTTATTTTGAAAAAAAAAAAAATCTTAGTCTTCGGAAGCGGTGTTTCTGGGACCAATCAGACTGCATTGGTTGGTTGCTCGCACCAATTACATTGCACCGGGTATGTTGCTCACACCTATAGATTTCACGGGGTATGTTGACCTGTTCATTCCTTGTAACCAACCTGCAATTAATCACGTATCCACATTTAAAGGACAAAGTGCAGACAGACAAAAACCAATCAAAGATCCCACATTGTTACGCCCACGTGAAAGCCAAAAAATATGAACTTTTCTCATCGTTCCATGTATTTCACCTTTCCGAAGAATAGAAACCGCAAAATATCTTCGATTTCGATTTTGCCTTCCGAAGAGAAATTTTGTGGAATGATTTATTTTTTAGAGGTAAATAACGGATACGGAATAACTTTGATTTTGTCACTAACAGAGTGCAGTGATAACTGTGACACCGTATGCAGTCTACAGTTGCTTACGAATATCCGATAACACAGACAAAAGAACATGCTCAAAATACGTTGGAAGAGTTTTTTTGCTCTCTCTTAAAGTAAATTAACGTGATTTTTGCAGGAATATTTTGAAAATTGATGCTTTTCTTTTGTCTAAAATGAAAACGTAAGTCATGCAAAGTGTTTCATCCCAACCCACTCTCCACATATGTCATGCCTACTTTTTTCAAACAACAGCTAAATGCACACTCGGAAAGCATTCTAGTCAAGAAATAAATGCTCCTAATTATTCGTCATAGGTGCAAACAACCATAACCCTGACGATTTACTTTGGATACAAAAGGTAACATTGTTTAAAAATGATGATTGCTGCACGTAGAATTTCAGCATTATTGACATAGTTACATTAAATGACCAAACGTAAAGGCACCCAAGAAGTTGATATGTTCCTGTTACTGCCTTCCTGAAATACACCTTTATTGTGCGATTACTGTCAACAACATCTCTGTTAAGAAATCTCACAAAGTGACGCTTATAATTATCCTAATTTTCTCACCTTGATCCTTAATGTATTCCAACAATAAAAGTAAGCGTTCCTTCCGCTTGTCATTTAGTTGGCCAATAGCATGCTTTACACCGTCGATAGTATAATCGAAACTAGAAGAAGCTAACGATGCATTCAGGGCACGGTTGAATGCCGTTTGCATGGTTTGGTCGGCGCCTGCTATATTCTGTGAATATGAACGTACACAGAAAGTATGATGCACTCAGGTAGTGAGTTTTATGACTATCTTTTTCAGAGAGCTTTTTAGTTCAGTGCAGTCTTCAGTGATGATATTCAGCACAACATGACAAATTTACTTCTGTCATAAAAATGATGCATGACATGAAGAATAATCAGTTACGACAAAGAAAGACCACAAACAAACAACAACTACTCTGACCTGTACAGCTTTATCCCTCCTAGCAGGTCGGCCGTTCAACTTTGATAGCTCTGTATCAGCCAGTTGCTGAACATCTATGTCACGTGACCGTATGTGATAATCCAGCGCCATTGGAAGTAATACGTTAGACATGACGAAACCAAACTTCTTATCATCGAACTCAGAGTCTCTGGCATACAGTGGAGTTCCTAACAGTGTCAAAAGCGAACGATAGCTAGGCCAGAATGTTGCACTTATCATACCCGTAAGAATTAACCCATCAAATTGAGGACACTTATAGACGTATCGTAAAATACGTATACATATTGTATATATACATATACAAACAAATACATAAAAAAAACTACTATTAAAAAGGAGGGATAATAAAGAGCAGTTTTCATCTACGTGGATGTACTGAATCAAATATACAAGATCAAATAGGAAAACAAGTTAAGAACGTAAATTAACTAACTTTACATATAAGTTCAAATATTTTGAGCATAGAACTTAGTCCCTCTTGGAGCTCAGTCACATTTGTGTTTTTACGCCAATCCCCCTAAATAAGGGAAAAGGCCCTGGAAACGAGGCAGGCCAAATTGCACGATTATGAGTTCTTCCGCTTTACATCCAGCACATCAGTGTCGGAAGAATACAAGTGCCTAGACGTTTTTATCTTTTATTTTTTTGTGTGTGTACAGCTCGCTTCGCGGCCGGCTACTGTAGCTCCGGCTCGACTCAATAATCTCGCAACAATGAAAGCGGTCGTCAATCAACTGTTCTCTTTGCTTTACGGCCGGTCGAAAGAGTTGATCAAACAAATCAATCGAAAACAGTAAAGACATCGAGATCACTCAATGTGTCTAGTAATTCAAGTTGGATTATCTGAATTCTTCATAAACGGAGAACTAGCATCCAGTAGTTTAAGATAATTTCAATTTACATTGTTACGTTCTGTGGCAAATACCGTACCTGTTATCACATCGTCCGTTTTTTTCACTTCCAGTGCAACAAAATTAACATGTGAACGGTCCACCCGAAGAGATTTAAATCTTCTCTTTTTTTCCTTCGGCAATGTGGCTGAGGATGCGGCTAAAATCGTGGCTGAGCTCTCTGACTCGCTCAAAAACCAATTCTCCAAACGCTTTTCAATTAATTGTAACTCGGCGTCTTTATCGGTTGGGTCACTCGAAATATCAATATCCGGGAATGATACTTTCTAACGAGGCAGAAATTAATTTAGAGGCTACAAAACAAGAATGTGGCTTACAAACTCATTTTCAATTTCCAATTTTACAATTTAAAATCGATAAAAATTTTTTTTCAGCACAGGTAGGTTTTGAAAAACAGGAAGAGGAATATGAAATTCAGACTGCTGTCCATTCTGCACGAGGTCCGCGTAACAAGCGTTTAACAGTGATCAAAGCTCCTCTCGCTTTCCATGTTACTGACTCTTTAACTCCCATGAGTGACCAAGACAGAATTTCTCCTTACCATATCAATACAATATCAAGCACACAAGCGATGAGAATTAAGGAAAAAAGAAACTTAGCCGGGGGATTATCAGTTGATCCAATACCAATTTCTCCAAACTAACAGCTGAAGAATTGTATAACAGAAAGTTAGGAGAATTACTAATGAGATGATGAGGGTCAAAGGGTTAAAATACCTGACTCCAGCGATACGTCTGTTGCCAGGAGTCCCTTATATCGACAGCCTGTGAGCTACTTGGTGGCACTATCTCATCACGTGTCTGTCCACTTAACTTTTAAACAAATCGTATAAGATCAAAAAACAAAAGGTGAGTGGGTGGGGATGTATTCGGTGCGGTTATTTTCATTCTGTTTATCTCTCTCGTATTCCATCGTGCACCCGCTTTGAAATCACTGTAAGCCACCCAGATTCCACGCCAACCCTATAAGTTAGTGTAAAAAGAAGGGAGAAACAAAGGTAATTCCTTAGTTTGAAGAGGTGACTTGGACATTTTCTTTGACTCAAAAGAATTGAATAGATTTATTACCTCGAAGTTAAGATTTATCTTGAACAGTGACACGACTGAGTGTGATGGTGAGGATGCCGTCTCAAGAAATTCGATGGTCAATTCTTCACCGATTCCAGAGAGTTGATGAGTGTTGTAAAGCCACAATTTGATTCCACCTTCTTTGAGTTCTTTTCCTTTGATTGGCTGAAACAATTAGTAAGTCAGACTTATTTCAGTAGATGAATGCTTATAAGCATAAGTAATATATGCGCCTGCTTGTACATTAAGACACGGAGGTCATAGATTGGGCAAAAAAACTATTCGTGCACCGAGCTTTAAGG